AAATTAAGTTTTATTACTTAGTAGTTACTACGGTAAACGTTAACCTTACGTTAACGTACGGTCGTTCGTTAGTTTGTTTCTTACTTTCCTACTATATATATATATATATATATATATATATATATATATATACCATAACACCCAAGATCTATTTTTGAAGTTATTTTAGAACTTATATTGATAATAGTGGCTTGATAAATCTAATGTAAAGACAGGCAATTATCAGAAATAATAATAATGGAAAAGAAATATCAATAACAATTCAATTTATAAGAGTAGCTGTTCTAACTTTTATGCTAACAATAAACTTTAATTGCATTGAAACAAACTATCATTAGAACATAAAGGAGTACTTACTTTCTACAAATACAAAGACTGGTGAAGAGCTTCCACTCCTCAGGACACTGACTCGGCAAGCTATCGAAATTACAATCACACATGCAATCCTCACAATCACTCAAAGTCGGTGTGGCTTTAATTATGAACACCACCCGATATACATGTTTTAAAACCGAAAATAAAAGAGGTAGAGTAAGATTGGCAGAGTTATCAGAGTGAATAGTATTTTTGCAAGAGAGAGAGAAGCAGGGCTCAGAGATGTTCAGAGAGGACTTAAAGAAGAACATATGGTTTAAGAGAAGAGAGGTTACGAAAAGATTAAACGGATAGAGCAGGAATGCTCCGAGAAGCTAACCGCTCGGAGTAGGAGCGCTCTGAGTTATAGAACAATAAACAGACAATCACCCAGAGATAGAGAACATAAAAACTTACAGGAGTTACGGCACGAAGGAAGATGAGTAAGAAGGAAGATGAGTAACTTAAAGAGGAAAAGCTTAGAGCAGAGCAGAGAAGAAGAGAAGAGAGGTAGAGCAGAGAAGAAGAGAAGAGAGGTAGTGCAGAGAAGAAGAGAAGACTTAGGCACACTCCGGATGCCTTCCTTCCAAGGAATGACTCCCTTTTATAGATGTAGGAACCCTTGGCTCAATTATTAGGATGCCTGCTCAAAAGAGAGGCACAGTAATTGGAGATGACCAAAGGTGAGGCACAGTAGTTGGAGATGACCAAAAGGTGAGGCACAGTGGTTGGAGATGACCAAAAGGTGCCACTGTAGGACGGTGGCATCTGGGAACAGTAGCCTTTGTTGATGATTCTGACAAATGGCAGTACGACGGCATCTAGAATAGTAACTTCTGTCGGTGAATCTGACAGGGGGTAGTACGGTGGCATCTTGGAATAGTAACTTCTGTCGGTGAGTCTGACAGGTGGTAGTACGGTGGCATCTTGCAATAGTAATATTTTGGTATTTTGTGTCGGTAGAATAGTGACTATGGACAGGTGGCAGATGGGTAGTATCTTTTGATGTTGACAAAGTAATGTAGCAGCTTGCGGCTTTTGGGCTTTTATTCAGGCTTACTTTCGGGCTAACTGGCCTTCATGGAAATCGATCTGTGGTTGTATAAGCGCTCAATCTTCTCCTTCAGGGGTAAGATCTTCCTCATTTGTTGAAGTTGACATGGCTTCAGCTTCTTCTTCAAACATTTGTAATAACTTTCTTTTTAATTGTTCTTTAGAAGCAGTTGGGTTTTGCTGCTTCATTTTATTTATGTATTCAGAAACATGATCTTCCTTTTTCTTGTGGACTGGAGTAGAAATCTTTCTTAATTTTATATTCTCAGGGTCTACAACTTTATTTTCATATACGTCCCACCATTTAGTATAAACTTGTTTTCCTAATTTAGGAATATATTCCCAATTTTGGGTATAGTCATCAGTTATTGCATATGTCCATTTCATTATTCATGGGATTTGGTAAAAAGCCATGAAGTATAGATGCATATCAAGCTTGGGGTTTTTATTGTTGTATTCAGCAAACTTTTGTTGAGAAAGCAGTATTTTTTGTGGTAATATATCAGATCCAGATTCCCAAATCTTGAACCATATTTTGAACCAATTTGGCAGTTCAGAGACCACTGGAAGTTTTATTTGTATAAACCAGGTATGGGAATTAGTATTGCTTTGGAGATATAATACTTTGTTCCAAGCGTCTATGTACTCAGAATACCTGTAATATTTGCTATTGAATTCTGGTGCATTGAGCTTTCTGCTTCTTGTGGGGTCCATTCCCCATTCTTTATAGGAAATAATTTTCCTTATTTGGAACTTAGAATAAGCAATGGTATTTGTATTCTTTTGACAAAAATGGACTAGGGTTATAGAGCCGGTTTCAAGAAGAATGGCTTTATACCATTCTCTAGTCTTATTATTATTGGAAGGGCTCATATGGTTTATTAAATATACGTTAGCCAAATTAATTGGATCCATGTCCATATGTTCATCTTCTATTACTGAATCTAACAAGAAAGTGGTTTCTATAAATATTGATTTTTTCGATGCTGGAGTTCTTGCCTCGTTATGAGGTGGTTAAGAGTGACAAGAGAGTGTATAAGAGGGCTTCCAATTAAAGATGGGACTATTTCTTTCCCTTTTCCCATATTTAAAGGGACTATCTCGTTTGTTTTACTCGTATTTGTATTTGTATTTGTATGAATTATTAAAAGGCGGTCTCTGTTATTCCTGTCCCTGTCCCCCCTGCAAAAATTCACGAGTGAGAAAATCAGGAAGGAAATTAGTGTTTCCTTTGATGTGTTCCACATCAAATTCAAAGGAAGAAAGAATTGCTTGCCAACGCGCAAAGATTTGTTTGGAAACCAGATTTTTGACATCTTTGAGCGAAATATCTTTGGCTGATTTGCAATCAGTGCGAATGAGAAATTTTTTATTTAAAATATCACTTTGGAATTTAGAAACACAATGACCGTGGAATAATTTTGCTGCGTTTTATTCCAGGCTTTGGAAGTATAGCGGACCAAATGTTCTGTTTTATCAAGTTGTTGCTTTAGGATCCTTCCTAATCCAATTTCGGAGGCATCACATTCTATTATTTTAAAAGCATTAGGATTGGAAAGTGAAACTTTATTTTTTATTTCTCGAACTGCTGAAGTATGTTCCTCAGTCCATTTAGGTGGATTCTTTTTTAGTCTATCAAACAAGGGTTTAGCATCAATAGCTAAATTTTTATAAAAATCTGAAATATAATTTAGGCATCCCAAAAACCTTTGTAAATCAGTTTTGTCTAAAATAATATCTGGAAATTTACTAGCAAATTCTATAGCTCTATCAATGGGAATGATATTTCCTTGATATGTATTGTGACCCAAGAACCTTATCTTGGTTTGGCATAGACTAATTTTCTTAGCAGATACTACTAGGCCTGTTGCTTTGATTGCATTTATGAAGGCGTTTATGTGTTTGATGTGTTGTTCAAAAGATTATGAGAATATTAAAACATCATCTATATAAACTATCATAAATTTTATATAGGGATTGAAAACATCATTCATAATATTTTGAAATTCGGAAGGAGCATTTTTGAGCCCAAAGGGCATTACGTTCCATTCGTATTGCCCAAAAGGGACATTGAAAGCAATTTTATATCTATTCTTTTTAGAAATTTGTATTTGCCAATATCCTGACTTAAGATCGAATTTAGAAAATATACAAGCATTGACAAGTCTATCTAACAAATCCTTTTTATTTGGAATAGGATACCTTACCCATGTCAGTACCTTATTTAGCGGTTTATAGTTTATCACAAGTCTGGGGACTCCCCTTTCTTTCTCTGAAGCCTTTTCAACATAAAAAGCAGAACAACTCCACGACGACGAACTCTTTTTGATTAGCTGCTTATCAAGTAATTCATCGATTTCTTTTTGCAAATCTCGAGGAGTCTCGGATTCATTTGAATGGGTCTAGCCTTAGTAGGAATATTTCTTTCATGAAAGTTTTCTTCATAAGGCAAACTTACTATGTGTTTTTTTATATTCCAGAATGCACTAGGCAAATAAGTGGATATCTCGATTTCTATTTTTGTCTTTATTTGATTAATTATTTTAATATTTTTTGGGAGAGCAAGTTTCTCATCTATTTGTTTATATCTTATTTCTTCTTTTAAATAGTATAATAATTTTTCTTTATTTTCTAGGGTTTGTTTGACACTATGTATTTCTTTTATTTTTGGTTTATCAATAAATTCAAATTTAATATTATGTCCATTAAAATTAGATTCAATTCCTGAACTATCAATTTTTATTGGATATAATAAATTTAAAAAAGGTCTTCCAAGGATCACTGCTTGGCTTAAACATTTGACCATTATAAAAGGCATTTCAAGACAATTACCATTATTGCATATTGCAGCATTGGGCAACTTATAATTTATTATCAGTCTACTACCATCTGCAGTATTTAATATTTGTGTTGTCTTACTAAAGTATTTTGTCGGTACTAATCTTTCATTTATGCAATTGAGATCAACGCCTGAATCTATTAAGGCTAGGGACTGAAAACTATATTCATTTCCAACAACTATTCTTATCAAGACAAACCATTTTTG